AGATTTGGATGACAAATTTGATGTCATCCTTGGTCTGCCATGGCTAAGAAATTACCGGCCATGGGTTAGCTGGCAGCATCGATCCGTGAAGATGTCTGCCGTTTGTTCATCGGATGGCCATCTGATGAACGTCTTGAAGCGTCCACAAGCGTGTGGATGTTCTACGAGTGGGCGCGATGGTCTCACTTGTGGTACGGTCGTTAGTACGATTGCACAAGATCACAGTGTAGAAGGCCACTACACTGTGGAACCAGCTTCCGGCACCTGTGTTGAGACACAGGCTGCGCCGAAGATTCACCACTAGAAGAGATCGAGTGGACTGGAGCACGAAAGCACACCAAGGAGGGTGCATCCAAGAAGAGAGATTATTGTTGTCCAAGATGAACAACACGTTGGAGCAAGATCGACTATCAGAGAGTCGATCGTAGAGCAAGCCCGATAGACTTAAAGAGAGTCGATCAAAGAGGACGTGACTGTAATAGTACTCGTAAAGGAAGAAAAATTTAGCGTTCCGGAGAGCGATAGCTCCCGAGATAGTTATGTTGAGGGTGTGGATCCCTAACCACGTGCGAATGTGTTTTCCCAGGAAATCACCGAGTCAGTAAGTGTCTTGGTGAATGACGGATCAAGTGTAGGCGCTTATACACTTATTCTGGTTACACGTCCGAAGTCAGCTTCGGAGGTAGTCAAGTTTCCAACGCTAAAATCTATGAGATTCTTGCGAGATCTGCGAAGTGACAAGATCAAGCAGATTTGCGTACTCGTCACAGAGGATGAGTACGTCGCCAATATTCGGTCGGCACAAGTGTTTGCTGAAAACGAACGGGTTCTCAGTAGTTCATCTATGGACGACAGTGTCCTCGATGAGAAGACCCGAATTGAGCGATACACGTCTCAATCTCTGGAGTTAATAAGGAAAAATCCTTTGTATAAGGATTAAGTCGAATTCAGGGATATTTTCCCGGAATCCGTGCCATGCAAGCTGCTTAAAGACAAAGGCACTCGGCATGAGATCAAACTGAAACCAGGCTCGAAGTACTGTGTCATGAAGCAGTGGCCACTGCCTCGTGAACGGGTAACAGCATCGAAAACATTCTTTGCCGATCGTCGAGCGGCTGGTCACATGAGGAAGTCAACATCCCCACACAGCTCTATAACCTTCTGTGTGCGAAAGGCCACAGTAGGGTGGCGGATAGTGCACGCGTTCAACAAACTGAACGCTGCAACGGTATCGGCTCAAACGCCGATTTCAGAAAAGGATGTCATCATAGTTGGTATGGCAAAAAGTACCATCTTTTCGTCCATGGACTTGATGGATGGATTTTATCAGATCCTCGTGCGTGAACGGGATATCCCTTACACAGCAGTGAGCACCCTTAGTGATATTCCCTGGGAGTGGCTAGTGATGCCACAGGGGCTAAGTAACGCCCCCGCAACGTTTAACAGATGTGTTACGAATCTGTTGCGATCGGTGCGCAATTTCGAACCGAGTTACTTTAAGGATGTCTTCGTCCATAGCCGGTCTATGGATGAAAAGACGGATGTGGAGGTTCATAGAATCCACGTCCGGAAGATTTTTACGCTAATGCGAGAGCATAAGTTGTTAGCGAACCTCAAGACGTGTATATTCGCAGCGAATGAAATACCACTTTTTGGTTGCATCGTGGGTAAAAACGTTGTACGCCCTGATACGGAAAAGATTAAGGCTGTTAGCGACTGGCCTGTGCCAGTTGACGTCGAAATACTTTAAAAATTCCTTGTTTGGCAGCGTATTTGCACAAATACTCGCGCAACTATGCCGAGATGACTGTACATCTCTTTCGTCTATTAAAGGAAAATGAGAGGTGGTGATGGAGCGCTGAGTGTCAGCACTCTTTTAAAGGCATCAAGAAAATCTTGGTGCAATCGCCTGTGTTGGCGATTGCAGATCAAGATAGGCCATTTCATGTAGTTTATGACGCCAGCGATTTTGCAATTGGCTGCGGGTTAATGCAGTACGACTCAGACGGCGTTGAGCGCGTCGTCTGTTATTAATCGCTTCAGGTGCAAGCAGCTGAGAAAATTACCCGGTTCAAGACAAGGAGCTCCTTGCCATGAAATATGCACTGACCAAGTTTCGGGTATATCTCTTAGGAGATAGACCCTTCATCGTTTATACCGACCATGTGTCGTTACGTATGGCCGTAAACAGTCCACACCTCTCGCAACGGGTGGCGAGGTGGCTGTCTTTCTTCGAGGAGTACAACTTCTCCGTCGAGTATAAACCAGGACGACTTAACGTCGTCGCTGATGATCTTTCGCGTCGGCCCGATTTCGTGTCGACTGCTCAACTCAAGAGTAAGGGTGATCCCTATGTAGCGACACTAACAGTGAGTGTTCCGTCATCGAATCTGCTCGATGACGTGCCAAATGCATACGTTGAAGATGAGTCTCTTCTGCGGTTGACAAATCATGTATCCGATCCGTGTAATCAAGTCTTATAAAGCTTGTCGCCTCAAAGCCGCTTTATAACCGAACGGTGCTCGGTTCGTTATGGACTGATGTACTATACAGCAGTCAACGGCGATTTACCACGTGTCGTTGTTCCGGCTCATAATGATTTGCGATTGTGCATCATGTATGAGTGCCACGATGCCCCCACACCTAGGCATCGCGATAGAGAAAAGAATTACCTCACGGTAAGTCGTGACTTCTACTGGCCCCGCCAGTGTGAAATTTGTGCGATTATACAGTCGCGCTTGCGAAGTTTGTCAACATGTGGAGCCTAGTCTTTCATTCCGCGCACCCTGGCAGCCTCTTTCGATTCCGGCAGAGTGTTGGCAGTCCGTATCGATGGACTTCGTCTTCGGGTTTCCCAAAGACTTTCACAAGAATACTGGTATTCTTTTGTTTGTTGATCGGTTCAGCAAGATGGTACATCTTGTTGCTGTGCCGGAGTGATTCACAGCCCAAGGCTGTGCGCGTGTATTCATCGATACTATCTTCCGACTTCTCGGGTTACTCCGTGAACTCGTGACTGATTGGGACCCTCTCTTCACAGCGGAGTTCTGGCAATCCGTGTTCCGTTCACTTGAAACACGTTCGACGATGTCAACTTCTGACCATCCCGAAACAGATGGTCAGACAAAAAGCGTCAACCGCGTCCTCGAAGAGATACTTCGAGGGTATTTCCACTCGTTTGCGAGTTGAAGTGAGTTCTTGTCGATGTTTGAATTCGCCATCAACAATTCGGTGCACGCGTCGACTACGCATGCACCGTTCTTCGTAAATGGCCTTCTCCATCCACGTTTGCCCGCCTTTTTAAAATGTGTGACTCTAGTTTAAGGGGGGGGCTCGCTCGAACAAAAATCCGATCTGGTTCATGCTAATCACCCGTCGACAATAGTGTCGATGTGATGGATGCCGATGTCGATGAGATCGATGTCGATTATGACGATGACGACGATGCTGGCATATGTAGCATCGCTAATGACCGCCAAAGTGAGGATGATGATACCCTCACTGGTAAAGACAAAGTTCTTTCATCAGTGCACACGAAGCGCACTGCTGTTGACAAGGATGAATCAGCAGAAAAATTTCTGCTGACTCGCGAAGCGGTTGTCCTCTCCGTTCAAGACACTATTGCAGATGCAATAGACAAACAAAAGAAAATGCAGACAAGCATGGAAGAGCAAATGTTATTTCATCTGATATAGGAGACCTAGTTTAACTGTCTACAGTAAAATTACCGAAGCACGCAGTGACAAACGTGGGAAGCAGAAAATTACTGCCCAGGTACTTCGGTCCATTTCGTGTGTTGCGCCAAATGGGCAACGCATACACGATTATAGTTCCTTTTTAAGATGCGCATGCATCCTACGTTTTACGTTGGACGTCTCCGCTCGTACTATCAGTACGAGCCCATTTCGAGATGCGAAGAACACCTCCACGGTTGACAGCCGAGACCACCTTCGAGTGGTCCCGTTTAAACGAGCCAGTCTAATCGACTAGCGAAGCAACCTGTTCACCAGCTTAGCGATGTCTCGACGAGCTGCAGTCAGCTCATCACGAAGATAACGAGTCGAACGTTCGTTCTCAATCTGCGCGAACGCAAATGCGCCACGATCGTTTGAACAATTGTTCGCTTAGGAATTGTAATTATCACTCACAAGATCCTCAAGCTCGTAACGCCGAGATCGTTCATGAGCAAGGTCATCTTGCAACTGTTCCGTTAAACGGTTCAGATCTTGAACATCAACTTGATCCGACCCTGGACCCGGATCAGGTGTTCCCCTCGCCACCACATCCTTTGGTGGACTCAAGCGGTGGTCAACGCTATCTAGTGGAGCGCATTTTGAACCACCGCGATGTGCGTGGCGTACGGACGAGTTACCTCGTTCGCTGGCGTGGCAATCCATCGGCGTGAGACAGCTGGGAGCCTCGTGCCCAGCTGATTGTTGGTGTCTTTGGTTTCGTCGAGCAGTACTAAGAGACCCACCCGATGCGTTTGAAGAAGGGCCGTCAAAAAACGACCTCCCCAAACGCGAGTACAGTGATTACTAAGTTTCAATCCCTTTGGTCATCTTGGAAGAAATACGCGCCCTTCAGTAGGGATCATTAGGGAGGTAGGCCTCCCTAGGGGCACGATTCGAGTTTTCCAGGCAACCTGGACACGAATCACCCCACTAGAGACAGGGTAATCCTGCCTCTCTTGACAGCCGCTGCAACTTGTATCGCGCCCCAACTGGGTTGCATTTCTCAAACCTGATGCGAGCTGCATCAAGTTTGGCGAGCCAAGCCTCACGGCAAATGCACTCGATGTCATGGATGAGGGCATTTCATTCTTGCACCAAGGCTTTGCCGGCTCGAACACGGCTAAAATTGTACTACTGATGTTTGAAGAAAGCATCGGTGAAGAATTCTTCCTCAGCACGGATAGTTTCCGTGCTGGAATCAGGAGGGCAAATCTTCCTGCAATTGAACAATGGGATTCGATCCCGTTTGGTAGACTTGCCGGCCAACTAGTCCAACACTCTGGATGGCGGCGTCCATGGAGACTCCACTTGAGGAGCGTGGCGCAGAACACTTCGGTCCCTGACCTCTCGATTGGTGCCAGCATGAGCACTGGCACCAGTGATACCGCGATCCCTCAAATCACTCCACTCGTGGTAATTTATATGTGCATCACCACCATCCCCACGCGTCCTATCGTTGGATGGACCTGCGTAGGACGGAGAATTATCGGAATAATCACTCGATCCGAAGATCTCGGTCATAATACCGCCGCGCTGACCAGAACTAGTCAACCTGGCTTTTGCTGCGTCCGCCTCGGGTGATCCCGAGGCGTGAGGAGTCGCCTTCGAGTCGGATGCATCATCCGACTCGCCCAAACAGATGAGCTCAATCTCAGACTCGTCTGGATTACGATTCGAGGTACCCGCTGCAGACGCAAAGGATGTACCTGTTGCACGTGGTGACTCACCACGTGGAAGATTAACGACAACAGGCGACGAATCGCTTGCTGCTGAGGCGTGAGAGGCACTATTCACGACCGCACGCATGCATGCGTGCAGCCGCTCTTCTTGCTGCTGCAGTAGCAGCTTGCGTGGTTTTTGTAACCATGCGTTGAAATGGCAAATAGTTATAATTTGACCAACAAGTGCTCCCTTTCCCAAGGTGATACAACGATGGTCACTCTATCCCAATCAATTTTATTTTGATCAACGAGTGATTGTTGGTTATGGGGGGGTGAATTGACGGGGTAGCCTGTTACATGAAATTGACACCAAGCGGTGTCAATGTGAATATTGTCTAGTATGACAACATTCTACCGATATTATACGGGATGGATACTATTGAAGGAATATTATTCACATTTGGATAATATTCATTCGCTGCTCCAAGATTGGTTAATATAAGATATATCAACCATAGATTACCACTAATCACTGCTAGACGCGCGCGATGAGTGGTGTGCAGGTTGTCGTCATAAGACGGCGTAGTTTATTAGCTAGATAAAGATTACAGTTATATTAATAGCTTAACTATATTAAATACAGTCCTCTTTCTACCTTACTTGATTGAGTCGTTCAAGTAGCTTAGCTTCCTCTGCACGTACTAGTGTACGTGAAGTCTCGTGGCACCCCGAACAAAGGGTATACTTGCAGTCAATCGAGGATATCCGGGAATCTGCTGCATCAAACTAACGGCTTTCCTACTTATGGAAACAAGCCACTAGGCTAAGCGACACTGAGGAGCAAATTGCATTAGAAAAAGAGGGCGGAGACTCGGGGGTCACTATTGAAAGTTGTGGTTGTAGACCTTAAACAATTTGAATTCGTGGCAGGCATAGCTTTTTTCGTAGATTAATTTTCCATACAACAGCGAGATAACAGTTGAGCGAAGCAATGAGAGGACTCAAGGCTGACGCGGTGCTTGGTGACATGGCGCCACCATGTTCGGGCAACTTTCCGACCGACAGTAAAACGCAGTTGCGGCTAATGCCACAATGCGCTCGAGATGAGAGCGCCATACTTGCGTCCACGAGTAAAATCTGTGGCAAAGATTTCGCGCTGTGGATGATCCGAAACTTTCGAGCAGCGTTAAAGAGGCAGCTCACTTATGTGCAAAAGGCGCTTTTGCAATCATGTTAATAGCAGCGACTATGTTACTGTCGTTCAGCTCTTCAGGCATCTCTTGACGACGGCTGTCGTATTTGATCTTATCGGCGTATTTGCATGCTATCCCCAATAAATCGAGTATTTTCACGAACTAAGCCTTTGTGATCGCCTGCGCTCCTTGTAACGGTAATTCTATCTGGAGACATTACGTTCAGACTAGCGCCTTTCATCTCTCCATCGGGAACTGCATTAACCCATATCCACTCGTAGAAATGCAGTACCGGCAGCGTTCCATGTTAGGCTCGTCAAGCTCGTTACGAATGAAATGGGTGGGAACGCGAGCAGGATCGTAATTGCTGTCGAATATCAAATGCGTACTTGAAGCTTCAATTGGCGCAGAAGACGGTGTTGTGTACCGCTATCATCTACCATTTGTTAAATTGACAGCAAATCACGACTCAAATGACTGAGTTTATGAATTTGTGTAGTTGGAGATTGAGTTGGACACAGGTAGTCTTTCAGTTAGAGATGCTTAACGCGTCCCTCGATAGGTGCGGTTTCTAACAGAGTAAAGCTAAAAGCGGCAGCCTAGAAGTCGCATATTGATGCCGTTGCAAACTGTTCAGAACTGCGTTTCTTTAATGTGTAAGCGGGAACAATTCCATAAGACATGACGACAAAAGACAAACGCTACACTGCGATGACCGTATCAATCTGGAATATGATGTAGTGTGAGCATTATGGATCCTAATAGCCATTTCACTTCAAGGCATCTACAGCTTTCGAGTGTGACCAGTTGGTATTGGAGCATGATCATGTAGTCGAATTAAACGCAGATAATTGCTAACTGTGTCTACAAGCACAAACTGTTACAGGCGCAACTGCTGGCATCTAAACGACAACACATACGCGTATAGTGCTCGTGGAGACATTTGGAAGCAACAAAAGAACGTCAAGTCTACACTGAATATTCGGCCATACACCCAGAAGCATGTTAAGTATTCTACGAGCGCAAGAAAAAATGACCTCCTGCGTACGTCAGACACTTCGTCGTAAGAGTCTGACAACTGCCAAAGATTGTTTTTCTTAATCGTCTTAAACAGGCGGGACCTCGTACTTCAGTATCCAGTATGCCCTATAGAACAAATTAAACCATGCGGCTACAGGTTAGTTATTTAGTAGTTGCGCAACTGTATGACAGACCAAAGTACTTGAATGACTGAGAGTCGTACGACGAGAGAACTTTGAGCCTCTGTTCCATTATGCGTTCAGACTTAACGTTGAAAAAAAGAAACGGACCTCACCCTACTTTGTTGCATGTTTATCCTACTACACAAAAGCGAGTCATTGATAGATGATCAATGCCTCCATACTTGACGTCTTTCATGACTCGAGTCAGTCATTTATAGAGAACAAAAGAAGATACACCAACACATACGCGCAACGTCGAAGACACTTTCCATTCCGTTGACTACAGGAAGGAACAACAGAAAACGGCTGTGCGCAACGCGTCAGCAAGGAAACTGAATTAGACGACTGGGTACTACTCCTAAGTCTTCACCTTGCACTTCTGTTGACACGTCACCCTCCCTCTTCCATGGTGCCCACACCCGTAAGTCTCACAGATTTAAGTCGTACACGCGTCTCTCTACCGTCCCCTTCTCCTCCTCCTCCTCAGCATCTCGCTCTCCTTATTTCCAGCTTTTGAAAGCTTGTTAGTCGCCCGTCTAAGTCCACTGAAGCCACCTTCCCAACATTCCGGTCTTTGATGTGAGTTTATTCTGGCAACAGAATTCTAAGGGGTGTTGAATGCAAAGGCGTCACCACCCACAGCAAGGCATTGAAGAAAATCAAGCAGGAAACGGAACTCAAACACGCTTAAGTTCAGGAGATGATAGCTACAACTTGGACCCCGGGATAAAGGGTAGTAAGTCACATAAAGATGCACTGATTCGGCCCTCGCTGTCGTTCATGTCGCTCTTGTTGCAGGACAAGCTACGTGTCAACAGGGAAACGGTCGTTCGATTCGGTCACGCAGCTTCAACAAAATCGTGAAGCGTGTGAGCTTCCAAAGACGCGGTTATGCGTTTCAAACACTTCTTCATCCAGGGCGGAAGTAGGACAACCCGTTGGCTACTGGATGCGTGCGAACAGAAACTGTATGATGTAGCAGATGCGAAGGCGGTGAACGAATACGAGTCGATGATGACAACGATGCCGTTAAAAGATCTGTGCGCAAGAGAGAAAGAGTCTGTCCGTTGTTTTAGATCTGGACGTGGACAAGTGGAGGTAAGATGCAGTGCGAGACGACGAATTCGATGGAGTACGTATCTCCGCGTCTCAGTCCTCGGCGCTACTTGACGCCTCACGCCAACACCAGCACCAGCAGCGCCTCTGTATTTTATACACAATTTTCTCTCTGGTATTTACGTCTTCCTCGTGCTCTAACTACACGATCCTTCTACCGGTTCCTCAGCCACGAGTGTAACGGGGCACCCTCAAGCTTGTACTGGTGACGGTACAAGCTACTTGTTCCGATGACAGAATAAGGCGGTGCCTCGTAACTTCACGTACACTCGTACGTGCAGAGGAAGACGGTAAGGAGAAGCGAGTACTTGGTTAAAGTAAAAAGTAGAACTGAATCTAGTATAGTTAATGTCTGTAATAAATCACTATTTATCCTCATCTAACTATGTCTAAATACAAATGTGCATATCAGTTATCTGCTAACCACTCATTGCGTGCGTCTTTCGTGGCGCGTCTTCGTTGGTTGATATAATGGCCTATATCAACCAATTAGGAACTACTCGTAAGTGCTACAGAATATTTGTCCTTATGACAATATTCTGCGAATATAACTCTTATAATTATACTAATAACAATTTCTTATAAATTGTTATGTAACGATTCACCCCGTTACAATAAGATGACGCTCAATCGTAGCTTTCGCTTCGACGGTGTCATTTTCATTGTCGTTGTCGCTCACACACTAGTGTAGCCACGACCAGAGACCGCAATGGAGCCGAGCACTGGCGTCCCGAGGATCTCTTCCTCTGCCACATTTTTGGCTCGCACTAACACACTTATGGTGCGACAGGGTCGAGTGCTGATGCTCTTCCGGGCCATCACGAATGAGAAGGAGCTCCGAGGATGGACTTGAGGAGCGCACTGAGGACTTGAGTGCGACTTGATTGGCCAGGACGAACGCGACGTCACTCGAGTGGTCTCTCGCATAAGTGACATGGTTCACAGGACTTGATCGAGACCTGTAGCCATTTGGACTGTTCGTCGTGTGTACGACCAGCGACGCACGAAGAAAAACGAGAACAGACACTTGTCGGACGAGGGACATAGGGCGTTGTATCCACATCCCCATCCTAACACTAGATCTCGTCGACGCACGTGTCGCTCTTTTTCTTTTGACTTGTTTAATCAGTGAGGGCCAGCGGGAACCGAGCTCGCAAAGCCGAGCTATCGCTTCCCACTAAAGCCTCGTCTCGTTTGCGCAATACCGCCACCGTGCTCCTGCGGTGGATTTTACCTTCTCCTTTGTACGCTTGAGTCGACGGCATCCATGTGTCGCAAGGTCTTGACCATTTCCCTTTTCATGCTTTAGTTCGTGATTTACCTCACACAGTTTAACGCAAAAGTCCACAGCTTCGTTTGCTAACAAGAATGCGTCTCCTGTCAGCCATTGCTGTCCTCATCGCTGCCGTGCACTCTAGTTCTGCTTCTATCCCGCATCGTGCCTGTTTGTGTGATTCACATGCCGAGACGTGCACCCCTATGTTCGACAGCGACGATTGCTGCCGCAGAGTATGCCCATCTAAGCCACCTCTGCGATCGTAAACCGCCCGTGGATGATGCGCTCAAGTGTGTGAAAACTTCACGGCAGTGAGAGTTCTGCCAGTAGTCGAAGACATTCGCAAGTTACAAGTGTTAAAAATCACTCTATACCAGTTCAATGTATTCCATTCGTCTCTCTATATGTCGTTGATGTTGTACTTGTATTTGAATCGCATTCGATCACAGAACTGGTCGCTGTGCTTGACATAGCCCGAACATCTGACACTCTACAGCCGAGCGTATCCATTGAGCTACATGTCTGTCTCTATGTTGCAACAACTGAGCAAGCCTATCGCGCTCTCACGCACCATCGCTACGTGACGTCTCTCTGCTGTGCGGATCGGCTCACTGTCGTTCTGCTTCTCGCAGAATTAGCTTGTTCTGCCATTTCACTATTACCATAACAAGTCTTCCTTCCATTAGATACATTCACCTGTCCAAGGGCCAACCGTCCCTAGCCAAGTCTTGCCCGGTGGTGGCACCTTTGCACGAACAGCAGTTTCAACATGCAATCAAGGACCCGGCACAAACCTGTTTCATTCGACACGAGTTTGCATGTGGGGCTACAAGCTGCTGCACTGCCGGTTCGTCAATGCTGGTGTATCGAATGGATGTGCAGAAATATGCAGTGTCACGCACGATAGAGCTTACAGCACAACAGCGCGACTGCAAATTCTTCACCACTGACTGACAAAAAGCTAGAATGCCATGCCACGTAGTGAAGTCAGACACCCGTTTTGGAGTCGAAAGGGCGATGATACGTGGGCAAAAACTACAACACCATCCGATATGAACAGCTTCTTTTTCTTTTTGCCGGCCTCCTCTTCACAGGAGCACAGCCAACTCTTTTACCTTTTTCATCATGGCCACCATCGGATGAACTTCTGTCGACGCAGCTGCCTTGTCACTCACACACTCATCTCCCCTGACTCGACATTCTTGGTCACGACGAGTCGGTTATTCCGCTTCGATCGTTACGCATGCCTTATGGAGCGATGGAAAGACGAGCGAATGTTGCACGTTGAGGCTTTGGATGATATTTTGTACGGTAAGCGTGGCCAGAGCAATCGCGCAACCAATATGACGAACGACGTTGGGATACAGTTATTGCGCGAGGGATGCCGTGATATCGACTGCTGACTACAACCTCTTGGTCCGTTGGCAATTCTTGCACTTTGATGGGAACTGAGGTCTATTCTACCGACTGCAATAGTAGAAATACAATGGGTTGGCCTCGCAGCTACAGCGACCAGCGAGTGGCACTCGGGTCTTCTGCCACAAAGTCTGTCTACCAAGCCAATGCGTGTGCTGTTGCAAGCACTTTGCATGTCACGCCGCCTACTACACTGCAAAAGACGTATTGATACTAATGGCAACGATCAATCATTGACGGGTTCATCGTCTATCGGGCACCGTGTCGATGCTACACGCCACATACACGTACAAACGACATCACAGCTCTTGTGCTCTCATCATTCATACAATATTTGAGTTGTTGCATCGTCGCCTAAAAGCAGCACTGCATTGTTCATTCACAGAATTTTTCGAGTTGTGCGATCTCACACTTGTTGTGTACAGCAATCCATGGACACACTTGCTTCGCTGCACGCTGAAGTCGGCCAGCACCATTACACCCAGTGGTGTATGACCGAATCGCCCTACTGGCGCTACTCGTCACTTTTGATCCTTCTGAACTGCACAGGCTCACTTACACTGACGCTTTTCATTGGTTGTATTGTAACCACGACACCAGACGTGCAATCGCCCGAGGTTCAGCAGTGATAGAGATTTGGATGGCAGAATCAGTGCAGCTTTTGACACAGGTCCTCGCACAGTACACAGCAGCAAATGCACCCGCTCTCTCGCATTTTTTTGCTGTTTTAGGCGGCTGGTGGCATCATACTTGACGTTTGCTTCGTACACTGTCAAGCCTACTCCGCTTTGGCTACGAGCATCGACCGTGTCCTGAGAATACCGCGCAGTCGCTGTGTTCTTGATGGACACTGCGTGATAGAGAGTTGGGACCTTCGGACTAGCACAGGCAATGTACTTTGCCTGTGGTGTTGCTTTGAGTTTCAGAGGAGAGTGCCACATGCGTTAAATTCTCAGGTGTCTCATGGTGACAGTTGGTAAACGATGAGATGCTTCTTAGACATGCACAGTGTCAACACCACAATCTATGCTAACACGAACTATCTTATCCATCCGAACTACTAGCTTCTACGTTCGTGATACCTTACCAATGGTTTCTAGTCGGAGTGACATCGTCTTTGCTAGGCGAAGCGCACCCGTGTTGCACAAGAGCATTCGACTCTCCCAGGATGCCGGGCGAGGTGGTCTGTCATACTACAGTCTCCGTGCTTTCTACTTCTCAATCGCATCGTGCAAATGCAGCGCCTTTGCTCTCTTGTACTTGAGACTTTCAAACTCGATATCGCGACGTACGTGTTTACCGTCGACGTCTAACAATGATTTCATTGATCACAGGTCCTTGTGTAGCACTTGATACCGGTGGTAGCATCGAACCCACACATTGCTGTACTGCGCATTAAATCTACCACCCAAAGCCCGTGGACCCAAATGCTCCGTTTCGAGTTGTAGACAGCGATTTGGTCATGAACGCCAGGACGGTAAGGGCCTCGCCGATTCAACGACGAGCGCCGACGCTTGAAGCCCCTTTCAGATTCCACAACAGCACGTCCAGAAGGTTACGAGAACATTCTCTGACCAAATCGGTAGAAGCGGGCGTCCGATGTATCCAGCATTGTGGCTGCTTCAACTGATGAGATTTGTGCCGACTGATCTACTGCAGCTGCTTCGGGTCAGACTCGATCGTCGCATTTGAAGGTCTAAAAGGCATGTTGTCACGTTCTGGAAAGGATTGCGGCATACCTGCTGTTCAAAATGAAAATGAACCGATCAGAATAGTGGTACAGAAAGGCTGTGGCTAGATATTTTGTGAGTAAAGTGAGACGGAATGTCAAATCGTGCAGAGAAGAATCCAGCCCCTTCTGTAATGGAAGGAGCGTCAAGGCTCAAAGAACCTTCGAGATTCAACGACAGTTCAGCCAAAATCTTTCGTACACAATCCCGAAGGGCGGTAGGAAGGTAGAGACTGTTCTCGAAGGGCGGTAGGTAGAAACGAGTGCTCTCAGTATCCACCAAAATTGGCTACTTCAAAATGCAGCTCGTGTCAAGTGGTCTGCTCCTTCTCCGTCGGATGACACTTCTTCAGTTCAATGGCATAAATAAGCTCAAGTCAGGCAAAGATTGCAACATGCTGATGGCCAATACGAAAAGCAGCATTTCAGAGAAGCAGGACAAAGGTTGTGCCATTATCTTCTGTGACATGAAGTTGTAGAAAATGTCGAGGAGACGCGGCTGTATCTTAGCCAGCTGGTCGCACCCACTAAATTTTCGTCTTGTTCGCTTATTGGTTCAACTGTGCACACACGATGGAGACCCTCTTTTTTATGCATGGGGTAGATAGGCGTTTCTCATTCTATCGTAACATCTCTACCGCGCACGTATTTCTCTTTATCTTGCGTATTGTGATGCAAAATCAAGAATTGCTGCTGCCCGCGGTCGCAGAGCCAATCATCGCAACTTCGCAATCTCGACTTGTATGCGCAATCGTGCACCCACGATGCTTCTGCGATGGGGCTTCTCTTCTGTGTTGTATGGCTGGATCGACGACCTTCACTCGTCGCATGACCACGACTGCGCGTGTACAGCACATACGTGTCGAGAACGCAATGGTTCATTCCTGATTTTGCCACATACGGCACAGCGGGGAGAAGACCGAACAAAACAAAGCCAGGCCAAGCCGACGGTACAATGCCACTCAAGTCCGTCCTCTGCGTCGTCCTTGCTGTCTTCGCCAACGGGGGTGTTTCCGATTTCATTCTTGCTCAACAGAATGATAATGCAAATGTCTGCCCAGGTTTCGATTGCAGTCCTCTATCGGCTTATTATTGCTCCGATCAAACCCCAATAGGCGATTGCTGCAAGAGCAAATGTTCGCAAGCCATCTGTTCAGGTTACAAATGCGACGGTTTATCGGTTATAATTTGCTCTCGTCAACGGTATCAAAATGAGTGCTGCATGGAACGATGTAAGTCACTCACCCACCCATAGTCGGAGGCCGGCGTCGTCTATCCCTCTCCCTGTTTTAGGCATTGACAGTGCACTATCCAAACGATAAGGTTCGACAAGTGACGGAAAGAGAACAAATGCCTAATAAACGTCTGTTTTCCTTTTCTTTGTTGCTTGTCCATCGCGTAGATTGTAGTCCTTCTGTCAGATGTCAATGACAATCTTGTTTGCTTCATAAAGCCCAGAAGTCCTTAGATAGCTTTTTGTTGTGATTTAGAGTATGCTAAACCTTCAATCTTCACACACGAGCGGTTAGTTGAGCTTCTATCTAATCTGTCGAAATTCGAGGTCTCACAATGTGAATGCAGAGTTAGCTACCTCAGCCACGACTAACTGATCATTACGATCTTTCTCTTTCGTTACAGATGGCCACCAGCCAGGGCTTTTAAAAGTCCCCGACGCCTAAACCTGGAGACGAAACCTTTGGTCAAATATAACAAGTAGACCCAAGGTTTGGCAAATTAAAAGGTCGTCCTAAATGTTTTGTTTGTCCCTCCAAAACCGATCCTTCAAATGCCATTTCGACGAAATAATTCGTATTCGAATAGTCGATGCCTCTGCCAAGTGTTCGATCGAAAGGCGGTGGTCGAAGCCGCATCAAAATTCTTTTTGGACTTTCGCCATCATGGAATAATTATAGTTTCAGCCAAAGCTACGGAATTTGGTGATACGCGCTTAAATAATCATGATAATCGATTTCGAAAAATAAGAGCCATTTCTGGCTTTACAAATTGTGCTAGAAAAATTGACTATTCCGATCCCAAACGCATACCCCGGTAATGATCAATGCTGAAACATTTACTGTTACCGACACGCCGCGCGGCACCAACACGACATCGAATGTACATCGTACGGCCGCGCGACTAACGTGTTAAAATGAGCATCAAAAGTCACATATTTGCACGGGGTTCAACGCGAAAACCGTTGGCAAAGTATTACACTTTAATAATTATGTAACGGGGTGAATCGTTACATAACAATTTATAAGAAATTGTTAAGAGAATACAACTACATGAGTTACATTCTCAGAATATTGTCATAAGGACAAATATTCTGTAGCACTTACGAGTAAATCCTAATTGGTTGATATAGGCCATTATATCAACCAACGAAGACGCGCCACGACAGACGCACGCAATGAGTGGTGAGCAGATAATTGATTTACACATTTGTATTTAGACATAGTTAGATGAAGATAAATAGTGATTTATTGCAGACATTAACTATTATAAATACAGTTCTACTTTTTACTCTAACCGAGTACTCGCTTCTTCTTACCGTCTTCCTCTGCACGTACGAGTGTACGTGAAATTACGAGGCACCGCCTTATTCTGTCATCAGAATAAGTAGCTTGTACTGTCACCAGTACAAGCTTCAGGGTGCCCCGTTACACCTGGTAGCACTTCGTAGTCCGTCCAAGGACCACGTTCACATCTAACATGAATATGTTGGATGATGAAGACGACCAAAGCTTTCACGCTACGCGTGACGGCTACTCCCATTTGAGCGACGTCGAATGGGATGCGGTTGAACGAATAAGTTCAACCATGGGCATCCATGCTGTTAGCGTCATGCTAGAGGCTCTCAATAGAGATGACCGACATGCTACTATCGCCAAGTTCGTTCAAAATGAACTTGACGCAGAACGCGAGAAAGTAGCCTCGATTCACCAACAAGGTTCTCAACAATCAGAGTTGTTGAGGGAACAGGGTGCTCAACAGTTTGAACTGTTGAGACAGCAGCAGGCTGCTGCTGGTGGGTCGATGCACTCGCGTCGACCCGAAACCTTGAAGATTGACGTCTCCAAGTATAGGGGAGTCGAAGAGGACTCCCTCTTGAGATGGTTCGTCGAATTGGATGACGCCATAAGGGCGCGTCGCATCGATGGTGGGGAAATGCAAGTTGCATTTGCCCAGTCAAATCTGGCAGGACGTGCCAAGACTTGGGCACTGGGGCTAAAGTTGCACGACCCATTTGCGTTTGGGTCGTTAGAAGTCTTCAAGTCGCGGCTCAGACAAACGTTTGAACCGCCTAGAGCTGCGTTCAGAGCTCGAACCGAACTCTTGAAGCTCAAACAGGGTAAGCGTGATGTGCAAGCTTATGCACAACCTATACGACATCTCACGAGTTGTATAAGTTCCAGCCCGGTTGATGAACACACGTTGGTTTCGGTGTTCACGCAGGGTCTTGCGGATGGTCCCGTCAAGACTCACCTGTTCCGGCTTGAACGTAGAGTCCAACTCCTTGGGATTGCCCCCCTTCAGGGGGCGAGTGCCTTGGAGCAGGAAGACTGCAGACAGCCGGGATGGACCGTCAACCCATGTGACAGGACAGTCAGGTGAGCGGATGCAAACCCTCGCAGTGGTCCGCAAGGGGGGGGGGGGGCGCAAAGACGCAACAACAGGGGATGGACCGTCAAAAAACGGACAGGATCAGTAGGTGCGGAGCACCCTACTGGTCCAGCAACGTCAAGAGAATTTGTAGGCCTCTTGATGAAGGTTGCTCCCAACACACAAACGTTGTGCGTTGCTGCTCTAGGCAATGAGGTCTCACTCATTACCTTGAAACTCGAAGTGACAATTAAGTTGTCCCTTCGAGCTCTAGTCGATTGTGGGGCGTCCAACAATTTTGTGCGACGCCAATCGCTAGAAGATGGTCACTTTGAGTTCAGTGAATGTGACACACCTCCTACGAGGATGACGGTACGTCTTGCGACAGGCGCATCCGTAACCGTCATGAAGCGTATAGTGAGGATCCACTATACGCTAGAAGATACCCAGTATGACGATGACTTTATCGTATTGGATTTGGATGACAAATTTTGATGTCATCCTTGGAATACGGTGGCTCAGAAGGTACGAACCACGGGTAAACTGGCAACATCGAACAGTAACGATGCCCGCCGCTTGTTCATCAGATGGCCATCTGATGAACGTTTTAGAGCGTCCACAAGCGTGTGGATGTACTACGAGTGAGTGCGATGGCCTCACTTGTGGTACGGTCGTTGGTACGACTGCACAAAACCTTTGTGTAACAAACAGTTACACTTCGGAGCAAAGTTCCGGCGGCTGTGAGGAAACACAGGCTGCGCCGAAGGTCCACCACTCGAGTCAGTCGAGTGGACCGGGACAAAGATGCATCCCTAGCGGGAACATCTAGCAGAGAAACGATCGATCACTCAGGTTAAGCAAAACGATAATACTAGATCGACTGGAGAGTCTTTCGTAGAGGATCTCGCTGTGGTTGCGCAACCCCAGCTAGAGGAAGTAAAGGGAATAAGTCACAGTATTACAAATACGGCGGAAATAAGTTCCCCGAAACCCGCGGGAATAAGTCCCCGGGAAGCCGAAGGAATAAGGCCTTCGAAGCCTGAGGGAATAAGTCCCCAGGAAATGACAGAGACATTGAATGTCATAGTCAATAACGGATCAAGCGTAGGCGCTTATACACTTGATATGATTGCGCCTCCGAAGTTGACTTCGGAGATCACTCAGTTGCCAACGCTAGAACATAAAAGGTTCTTGCGTGATCTGCGTAGTGGCAAAGTCAAGCAGATCTGCGTACTCGTCGCTGACGACGAGTGTGTATCCGACATAACGTCAGCAACAATGTTTACTGAGAACGAGAGAGTTCTCAGTAGTTCATCAATGGACGAGAGTGTCCTAGATGAAAAGACACGAATTGAGCGATATGACTCCCAATCGTGGGAATCGCTCAAGACAAATCCTATCTATGAAGATTTGGTTGAATTCAAGGATGTATTCCCTGAAACTGTTCCGTGCGAATTACGAAGGATAAAGGTACTCGACACGAGGTCGAGCTTAAACCAGGATCGAAGTACTGTGTCATGAAGCAGTGGACACTGCCTCGTGAACAAGTACTTGCGATCGACTAGTTCTTTGCCGATCTTTTAGATGCGGGCCATGTGAGGGAACCAACTTCCCCACATAGCTCTCCGACCTTCTGTGTACGAAACGCAACAGGAGGGTGGCGGATAGTGCATGCATTTAACAAGTTGAATGCTGCAACGGTACCGGCTCAGACGCCGATACCGAGGAAGGACGTAATCATTGATGGTATGTCAAAAAGTACCATCTTTTCGTCCATGGATTTGATGGATGGCTTCTATCAAATCCTTATGCGAGAACGGGATATACCCTATACCGCAGTTAGCACGCCTAGCGGCATGCTCTGGGAATGGCTAGTAATGCCACAAGGGCTTAGTAATGCCCCTGCCACGTTCAACAGATGTGTATCACATCTGTTGAGACCAGTACGAGAATTCGCGCCGAGTTATTTCGATGACGTATTCATCCATAGTCGGGCTATGGATGGAAAGTCGGACGTTGAGGTTCACAGGTATCACGTCCGACAGGCTCTTGCAATCATGCGAAAGCATCAATTGTATGCTAACCTCAAGAAGTGTATATTTGCAGCAAGCGAAATACCACTTCTTGGGTGCATCGTTGGTAAGAACGGTGTAAGTCCTGATCCCGAAAAGATCAAGGCGATCACCGACTGGCATGTGCCAGTTGATGTCAAAGGTCTTCGGAAATTCCTTGGGCTAGCGGTGTATTTGCATAAGTATTCACGCAATTACGCCGAGATGACTGTGCACCTCTCTCGTTTGTTGAAAAAGAACGAGAGGTGGTTATGGAACGCTGAATGTCAGCGCTCCTTTGAGGGTATCAAGGAGAGCTTGATACAATCCCCAGTCCTAGCAATAGCCGATCAGGACAGGCCATTTCATGTGGTCTGTGATGCCAGTGATTTCGCTTTGGCTGTGCATTAATGCAGTACGATCTTGAAGGCGTTGAACGCGTCGTCTGCTATCAGTCGCGTCAGCTGCAACCAGCTGAGAGGAACTATCCAGTGCATGACAAGGAACTCCTTGCCATGAAGTATGCACTCGCGAAGTTCAGAGTCTATCTATTAGGAGATAGACCCTTCATTGTTTACACTGACCATGCGTCATTACGCACGGCAGTGAACAGCCCGCACCTTTCACAACGAATGGCGCGGTGGTTGTAATTATTTGCAGAACAAAACTTTACGGTCGAGTACAAACAAGGACGAATTTATGTCGTCGCTGATGCACTCTCACGTCGTCCCGACTTTGAACCAGTCGTGAAACCCAACAGTGAGACAGCCACTGTTGCGGTTATGACGTCCTCAGTCCCATCTACACCGTTGTATGATGATGTGAGGCGGGCATACGCCCAAGATGATGAGATTGTGAAGTTGTTGACACATCTCTCACAACCATCTCGAGAATCGTTGAAGCGATTGTCGTCTGCGTATCGATCTGCATCAGATCGATACACTACTCGCAACGGTTTAATGTATTATACAGCCGTTACTGGTGACACACCACGTGTTGTCATTCCAGATGATACTGATCTGCGTTTGCGGATCATGTTCGAGTATCACGATTCTCCTATAGAAGGACATCGTGGCCGGGAGAAAACATATCTCACGGTGAGTCGAGACTTTTACTGGCCCCGCCAGTATCAGTTTGTGCGAAAGTATGCTCGCGCATGCGAAGTCTGCCAACGAGTGAAGTCAAGTCCTTCACTGCGTGCACCTGTACAGCCTCTACCAGTTCCGGCAGAGTGCTGAAATCCATCTCAATCTATTTCGTCTTCGGGTTACCCAAAGACGCACGCGGGAATACGGGTATTCTCGTATTTGTTGACAGATTCAGCAAAATGGTGCACCTTGTGGCTGTACCCGAGTCAATCACAGCAAGTGGCTGTGCTTGCGTCTTAATTGACACCATCTTCCGAATTTATGGGTTGCCCCGTGAACTCGTATCAGACAGAGATCCACGATTCACTGCTGATTTCTGGCGTTCCGTGTTCAAATCACTCGGAACGCGCTTGAAAATGTCGACATCTGATCATCCAGAGTCAGATGGTCAGACGGAACGTGCCAATCGTGTCCTTGAAGAGATACTTCGAGGATACGTACACTCCTTTAAGCGTTGGAGTACGTTCTTGCCCATGGTAGAGTTTGCCATTAACAACTCGGTGCATGCGTCCACGACACATACACCGTTTTACGTGAATGGCTTGCGCCATCCGCGTGTACCCACCTTACTAGAGTGTAACTCTGGTTTAAGGGGGGGAGGGACTCGCGCGAGCAAAAACCGATTTGTTTCACGCTCATCACGCTCTGACGAAGAGGTCAATGCGTTTGATGCCGATATAGATAACATTGATATCGAAGAAGATGATGCCAGTGAGAGTGCGGAAGCCGTCACTGAAGAAAATGTTGATGTTGCTGCAGTGCGCTCACAGCGCACTGAAGCTAACGAGTCAGCAGATGATTTCACACCGGCTCGTTGAACGGTAGTCCGTTTTGTGCAAGACTCCATCGCCGAAGCGGTGGATAAGCAAAAGCAAAACGCTGACAAGAATGGAAGGGCAAACACTCTTTTATTTAATAAAGGTGACTTAGTCCTACTGTCTACGGTTAATCTACCAAAGCAGGTAGTGACTAACTTGGGTAGCAGTAAACTACTACCCAAGTACATCGGCTCATTTCGTGTATTGCACCGCCTGGGCAATGCATACACGATCGAGTTACCACGTAAGATGCGAACACATCCCACGTTTTACGTTGGTCGGCTTAAGCCGTACCATCCGTACGCTGCTTCTTCCGATGAAGAACGCCCTTGCGCTCAAGCATCTCGCAGAGAGCCTTGTGCTCCCGATGGTGGGCATCAACAAGGGTCTGAAGAGCAGCTATCTCATCCCGAGACCGATCAACATTCCCACGAGCTACCCTTAGCTCGTCACGAAGAGATGTCAGAGCTCTCTCGTTCTTAAGCTGAGCAAAGGCAAACTCAGCTCGATGCTTCAAGACAGTGTCCGCCATTTGGAGACGCCTATTCCGCTCATGTTCGAGATCGTCGCGTAACCCTTGCGTTACGCGATCAAAGAAGCTCTCGGGAACACACGGATCCCCATGATCGTGTGGAGAGCGTCTTTCCTCCTCCTCCACCTCCACTAGAGGACTCTCGCGGTGGCCAGCGCTATCTAGTTGAGCAGCTGTTGATCCACCGCGACGTGAACGGACGTCGGACGAGTTATCTCGTCCGGTGGCGCGGCTGTCCCCCGTCCTGGGATTCTTGGGAGCCCCCGCCCTAACTGATGGCTGACGTACTGGGTCTGGTTGAGCAGAACGACGCGACACATCCTGTGCCGCAGAAGTACCGCCGGAGAAAGTCTTCCCGGCACGGTCGTAAAGGGATTTCAGGTTGTCAATCCCTTCGTACATCTCACTAGAGATACGTACGCGCCACCACGGGCTATTAGGGAGGTAAGCCTCCTTAGGTGCTCGTGCAGAGCTGTTCACACAACATGGGCACGAGTCTCCCCAAGAGAGGCAGGGTAATCCCTTCTCCCTTGACAGACGATGCAGCTTGTAGCGTGCACCTGTCGGGGTTCTCCTTTCAAACTTATCGCGAGCTTTGATAAGTTTGTCGTTCCAAACATCACGACCTACATCCTCAAGGTTATGGATGTAAGCGTTCCACGCCTGAAGCAGTGAGGGACCACCACGTTTGTGATTCCCACTGTACCATCGATGTCTAAAGAAAGCATCGATGAAGAATTCATTCTCAGAGCGATAGTTTTTCGCGCTGGGGTCAAGGTGATGGATCCTTGACGAATCGAACAATCGTGTTCGATAGCGATCACTCGTCGTCGCCGACAAGTGATCCATGACAGATTTGGGAGGCAGCCATGCCTTCTTTTTGGAAGCGAGACGCAACACGGTGCGGTCCCGCTCTTCCTGCGATGTGCCGACAGAAGTACTGGCACCTCGTTGCGAAGTGGTGTCAATAGGAGAACCGACACCACTGTTAGCGCCCGAGTCTTGCGACCTCGAGCGCCTTCGCTTCGGCGATATTTCATTTGATTCATCGGTTGAACCAAAGATGCTACGACGCATAGCATCGTCCATGCCACGCTTGGCAGGAGGCTTGGTTTCAACCGTCGTCGATACGGATCCGTCTTCCGTATTAGGAGAAAATGAGACACTGAGCTCATACTCTGTGAAGACATGAGTGTCTTCATGACCAGCGCCCGCATTACCAGGTGAAACAGGCTGAGTCGCTTCAGCGACCGATGAGACATCAGTTGCTGTGGTTTCTGCTTCGGCGTCCGCACAAAGACGTGCGGGCGCGCTCTCGGCGGTCTTGCTCGCGCATCGCATGGACTTGTTAACCATGCGATGAACTGTTCAAAGTGGACTCGGACCAACAAGTGCAAACCCCGTCCCAACTGATTTGGGACGAGTATCCATTTAGTCAATCAGTCACTAAAGTGACTGATGGTTAGGGGGGGGTGATGTAACGGGTGAATCGCTACATAACAATTTATAAGAAATTGTTAAGAGAATACAACTACATGAGTTACATTCTCAGAATACTGTCAGAAGGACAAATATTCTGCAGCACTTACGAGTAGTTCCTAATTGGTTGATATAGGCCATTGTATCAACCAACGAAGACGCGCCACGACAGACGCACGCAATGAGTGGTGAACAGATAGTTGATTTGCACATTTGTATTTAGACATAGTTAGATGAGGATAAACAGTGATTTATTGCAGACATTAATTATGCTAAATACAGTTCTACTTTTTACTCTAACCGAGTACTCGCTTCTTCTTACCGTCTTCCTCTGCACGTACCAGTGTACGTGAAGTTCCGAGGCATCGCCTTATTCTGTCGTCAGAATAAGTAGCTTGTACTGTCACCAGTACAACCTATAGGGTGCCCCGTTACAACGACAATGTAATTTACCTGCTTGCCACTCATCACGCGCGTCTAGCAGCAATCGGTGGTAACCTTGGTTGATACGTCTTCATCAACCAATCTTTGGGCAGCGCATGAATATTGTCCTACAATAGAAATAACATTCCTTCAACATTATCCATCTCGGATAACATTGGTGGGGAATTGACATGCTAGACAATGTACCTATTGACACCGGTTATTGCCAATGTCACGTAAAGGGATACACCGTTACATCTCCCCTCTATCCATCAATCACCAGTTGATTGAATTTAAGTGATTGGGGCAGGATGACCACCGTTGGATCACTCTGGAAAGGGGAGCACTTGCTGGTCAAATTCCATTACATGTGCCGATTTATCTCATGGTGTCAAAGTCCATGCGGTGAGATGCCGAAGCAGCAAGAAAGGCGGTTGCACCTGATGCGTGCAGCCGAAGAGAGAACTTCTTCTGCCTCAGCATCAGGTTATCCTGCGCCTGCTGTTCTGAAATGTCCACGTGGTGAGTCACCACATACGGCAGATACATCCGCTGCGTCTGCAGCGGGTACCGCGAATTGTAATCCAGATGAGCCTGAAATAGAGATCGTCTATTCGGGCGAGTAGAATGATATATCCGACTCGAAGGCGACACCTCACGCCTCCGTATTATCCGGTGCGGACACTGCAAGAGCCAGGTTGACTGGCCCTGGTTGTCGTGTCGGCATCATGCTCAAGATCTTTGGATCGAGCGATTATTCCGATGAATCTTCGCCTCACGCAAGTCCATCCAACGATATGACTCGTGGGGATGGTGGTGATGCACCTATACATCACCACGAGTGGAGTAAATTAAGGGATCGGGGTAACACTGGTGCCAGTGCTCATGCTGGCACCAATCAAGAGGCCAGGGACCATCATGCCCTGCGCCATGATCCTCAAGTGGAGTCTCCGTGGATGCCGCCATCCAGAGAGTTGGACCGGTTGTTCGGCACGACAACCGAACGGGATCAAATCCCTTGTTCGACTGCAGGGTGATTTGTCTTCTTGTTTTCAGCACGAAAACTATCTGTGCTATGGAAGAATTCTTCACCGATGCGTTCTTCAAATCTCGGTGGTACGCATCTTATGGGGCAGTTCAGTCGTGTGTGCGTTGCCCAATCGGCGCAACACACAAAATAGACCGATTTACTTGGGCAGTAATTTACTGCTGCCCAAGTTTGTCACTGCGTGTTTCGGTAAGTATAATGTAGACAGTTAAACTAGGTCATCTATATCAAATGAAAGAACATTTGCTCTTCCATGTTTGTCTGCGTTTCTCTTCTGTCTGTCTAGTACGTCTGCAATAGAGTCTTAAACGAAGCAGACAACCGCTTCGCGAGTCAGCTGAAATTTCTCTGCTGATTCATCCTTGTCAACAGCAGTGCGCTTCGTGTGCACTGCTGAGAGAACATTGTCTTTACCAGTAAAGACGTCATCGTCCTCACTTTGGCAGTCATTGGCGATGCTGAATATGCCAGCATCGTCGTCATCATCATCATCGACACCGATCTCATCGACATCGGCATCCATCACGTCGACACCATTGTCGACGTGTGATGATCAAGAACCAGATCGGTTTTTGTTCGAGCGAGTCCACCTCCCCCCCCCTAAACTAGATTCACACTCTAAGAAGGCGGGTAGAAGTGGATGGCGTAGGCCATTCACGTAGAAAGGTGTATGCGTTTTCGACGCATGCACGGAGTTGTTGATAGTAAATTTCACCATCGACAAGAACTCACTCCAACTCGCAAACAAGTGAACATACCCTCGAAGTATTTCCTCAAGGAGGAGGTTGACGCGGGTCGTCTGACCATATGTTTTTGGGTGGTCAGAAGTCGACATCTTCACATGTATTCGAAGTGGTCGGAACACGGAATGCCATAACTCCGCTGTGAAGCGAGGGTCCCCATCAGACACGAGTTGACGGGGTAACCCGTGACGTCGGATGATAGAATCGATGAAGACACGCGCACAGCCCTGGGCTGTGATTGACTCCGGTACAGCAACAAGATGTATCATCTTGCTGAACTGATCAACAAATTTAAGAATTCGAGTATTCTTGTGAAAGTCTTTGGGAAACCCGAAGACGAAGTTCATCGATACAGACTGCCAAAACTCTGCCGGAATCGGAAGAGGCTTTAAGAGTGCACGGGATGAATGCCTAGGCTACACCCGCTGGAAAACCTTGCAAGCGCGATGTATTTCCACACGAACTCATACTGGCGGAGCCAGTAGAAGTCACGACTTACCGTGAGTTGAGTTTTTTCTCTACCGCGATGCCCGCTGGTCGGGGCATCTTAACACCCATGCATGATGCGCAAATGCATATCATCGTAAGCGAGAACGACGACACGAGGTGTGTCGACATTGACTGCTGTATTGTACAGCAGTCCATCACGAACCGAATACCATTCGGTTGAAGAGCGGTATTGAGACGTCAAGACGCTCAAAGCTTGACTGCATGAGTTGATTAAGTAATATATTAGCCGCAGAAGAGACTTATCTTCTGCGCATGTACGGTCATCTTGGCGTAGTTGCGCGAGTACTTGTGCAAGTACTCCGCTAAGCCAAGAAACTTTTTAAGCCCCTGACGTTGACTGCCACGGGCCAGTCGCTAATCGCCTCGATCTTTTTCAGATCAGGGCGTACACCTTTAACCCACTTTGCAGCCAAGAAGTGGTTATTTGTTCTCTGCGAAGGTACACTTCTTGAGGTTCACAACAACTTATGCTTTCGCATAAGTGTAAGCATCTTCCGGACGTGGAATCTCTTAAACTTATAATTCCGTCTTTCCATCCATAGCCCGGCTATAGAAGAAGACATCTTCAAAGTAACTCGAAGCGAAGTCGCGCACCGATCGCAACAGATTCGTAACACATCGGTTAAACGTTGCGGGGGCATTACTTATCCCCAGTGGCATCACTAGCCACCCCCAGAGCATACCACTGGGGGTGCTCACTGCTGTGTACGGGATGTCCCGTTTGCGCATGAGGATCTGATAGAATCCATCCATCAGATCCATGGACGAAAAGATGGTACACTTTTCCATACCATCTGTGATGATGTTCTTCCACGACATCGGCGTCTTAGCCGGTACCGTTGCAGCGTTCAATTTGTTAACCGCGTGCACTATCCTCCACCTTCCCCCCCCACCGTGGCCTCTCGCACACAGAAGCTCGGAGAGCTGTGTGGGGATGTTGATTCCCTCACATGGACTGAAGCTAAGAGATTGGCAAAGAATTTGTCGATCGCTGTGACCTGTTCATGAGGCAGTGGCCACTTGCTACATGGTACAGTTCGTCGAACCGGGTTTCAGTTCGATTCACGCCGAGTGCCTTTGTCCTTGGGCAGCTCGCATGGCATGGATTCAGAGAAAACATCCCTGAATTCAACCAAATCCATATAAGAAGTATTTGTCTTCAAAGACTCCCAAGATTGAGACGTGTATCGCTCAATCCGGGTCTTCTCATCGAGGCCACTCTCTCCCATCGATGAGCTACTGAGAACCCATTCATTCTCAGCAAACACTTGTGCTGGCCGAATATCGGCAACGTACTTGTCCTCTGTGACTTGTACGCAGATCTGCTTGACCTTGTCACTAGGCAAATCCCGCAAGAATATTCAAGATTCTAGCGTTGGCAACTAGACTACCTCCGAAGCTGACTTCGGAGGTGTAACCAGAATAAGTGTGTAAGCGCCTACGCTTGATCCTTCATTCACCAATACACTTACTGACTCGATGATTCCTGGGAAAACACATCCAAAGTTGGTTGGGGATCCACAGCCTCGACATAACTATCTAAGGAGTCATTGCTCTCAGAGACGCTGAACTTTCTTCCATTACGTGTACTGACTGTGGAAGTACTACCACAGTCACGTCCTCTTCGATCGACTCTCTTTCAGTCGATCGGGCTTGCTCTACAATCCCTCTCTGATAGACGATCTCGCTTCAACGTTTTGTTCATCCTGAACAACACAAGTCTCTTTTCTCGGATGCACCCTTCTTGGTTTGCATCCGTGGTACATTCCACTCGATTCCTTCGAGTGGTGAACCTTTAGCTCAGCCTGTGTCTCTACAGAGGTGCCGGAAGCTGGTTCCACAGTGCAGTGGCCTTCTACACTGTGATCTTGTGCAATCATACTAACGACCGTACCACAAGTGAGACCATCGCGCTCACTCGTAGAATATCCACACGCTCGTGGACGCTCCAAGACGTTCATCAGATGGCCATCCGATGAACAAACGGCAGGCATCTTCACGGATCAGTACTGCCAGCTGACCCATGGCCGGTATTTTCTAAGCCACGGCAGACCAAGGATGACATCATATTTGTCATCCAAATCTAATAAGATAAAGTCATCATCGTACTGCTTTCCTTCCAGCGTGTAGTGGGAACCCACTACACGTTTGTTCACTGCTACGGATGCGCACGTAGCAAGGCACACCATCATCTTCGTTATGGGGAACGCTCGCTCAACATAGTTGAGCCCACTATCCCTTAGCGACTGGCGTCGAATAAAACTATTCCACGCCCCACTTTAAACTAGGGCGCGAAGTGACATTCTAATTGTCACTTCGACATCTAAAGAGATGAGGGACACCTCATCAGCAGGGGCAGTCGAACACAGCGACTGTGTGTTGGGAGAAATCTTCGTCAAGAGTCCTGCAATTTCTCTTGACGTTGCTGGATTAGCAGGGTGCTCCGCCCTTACTGACCCTGTCCGTTTTTTCTGGCGGTCCGACTTGCTGTCACCGCTTAGCGAAATGGTCGGACCCACGCCTCTGACCTTTCCTTGGCCAACGGTGGTCATCACGTCCTGTCTTTGGACATGTTATGGTGCTTGGGACACTACGCTCATGAGCGTAGTGCCCAATCTTCTGACAGCGATGGCATCTTGACATTCACTTGTGACTCAGAGAGCGAGAATTCTTGCCCTTTACATAACAGAGTTCCATTGGCTCGGGACCTCTTGTTTCCTGTCTTCTCGTCGGACAGTAATTTGACGAGTCAGCCTGAGACTGTCTCAGGCCGAAGTTTTCTTGTTCCGCATACGCTATTGCCCTTTCCAGCGTATGGAAACCTCTCGGAACATGTAGGTCTTCACCGGCCCATCCACAAGGCCTTAGATGAACACGTTGATGAGCGTATGCTCATCAATAGGGTTCTCCGTAACGCTACTTGCAAGGTAACGCAGGTGCTGTGCGTAAGCGTGCACGTCACGCTTACCTTACTTCAGTCTCAAGAGTGCAGAGCGGGCTCTGGACTCGACTCTCGGCATAAACGTCTCTTTAAGCCGAGTCTTCAAAATCTCGAACGACTAAAACACGTTGGGTTGTGAAGCTTAAGCCCTAAGGATCAAGTCTTTGCTCGTCCTGTCAAATTTGACAGGGCGAAAGTGACTTGCATCTCGCCCCCTCGATGTGGCGGGTCCTGATGGCTTCATCTAACTGGACGAACCATCTCAAAAGAGAATCTTCATCGGTTCCCTTGCACCTTGAGATGTCTATCTTTAATTTTTTTGGTCGACGCATGTGCATCGGCCTGCCTATCGGCTGATAAGAGCCTTGCTGCTGTAGTAAGGCTATCTTCTGTCTTTTGACAGCAAGTTCCCCTTGTAGGAACTTGTTGATAGCAGCTTGTTGCTGGTCTCTCTTAAAGACTCCAACATACTCCTGATGGCGGGTTCGCCCATGAGCACACTCATGCGGCCGACTACCTCCCATTCTGAGTCACTCAGATGGGAGCAGCCTGCACGTGTGACGTGAAAGCTGTCGTCTTCGAAGTCCAACTTTTTCATGTTGGACGGACACTAAGTAGTCGTTGGACGGACTACAAAGTGCTACCAAGTGAAACGTGGCCCCCTTTTTTGGGTTGGGCACCACGAAACTTCGCGTACACTAGAACGTGCAGAGGAAGCTAATCTACTCAAACAGATAGTTCGGGTATAGGGTCAAAAGAAATCTGTATTTAATATAGTTCAAATATCAATATAACTTCAGTCCTGATTAAACTACATTAATCTACATTGTCGTGTGACAACAACCTGCACACAACTCATTAAGCTCGTCTAGCAGCGATTGGTGGTAATCTATTGTTTGCTTGTCTTAATCAAACAAACTTTGAGCAGCGCATGAAAATAATCCTACAATGGGAAAATTCTTCCTTCAAGATAATCCATCTCAGATAACATTGCTAGGGAATAGACTTGCTAGACAATATACCTATTGACACCGGTTGGTGTAATTTTATGTAACGGGCTACCCCGTTACATTCTTGTCATTCACTTCTCATCCCACAGACGATAGGGTCGCGGGAAGGGTGTAGGCTAACTATTTCTTTGGTGGAACCATTACCAGACGCATCGTATTCATTTTCGGCCGAGGTTTAGCAGTTCCGGCCAATTGATCACTGGGTGGCCAATCCATGACTCCGGGATGGATTGGGGAACCTACTGACAGCAAGAAAGCATGACCAGATTCAGCTTTGTATACTCGTCGACTCGAGTATGGAGCGTATAGGGCTCACTACGGACGTTCTATACGTGCTCTTGGCGCCAGGTGTAACGCATTATTGCACGGATCGCAAACTGACACGGTGGGCATTGGCGATCATCTTCAACAGCTTAACACTCGAAATTACTGCAAAAATGCGAAGTGCAAAGTGTGGTGACGCTTAAGAATTGACCGAAGCTCCGCATGCCTTATCGATGGTCAGTGCGGGGTGAAGGACGTGTACATGGGGTGGCAGGTACGTTAACAAGCACCGAGCGTGGATAGATTGTGCTCCAGCAAAAGACTGACGGTTTACACTGGGTGATAGCAAAGGCAACGACCACCCTTTTAACTTGCTGGCTTGACGTAGACGACTTAAGACAAGCTCAACACTTCCAAGGACTCGTCGTGGAAGCACACCCGGCCTTACACGGTTTTCCGTGGGAGGTTATCTTGTCTGTATCCAATCGTCACGTCATTCGGCATCTTAAAAGTCAGTCGTACGCACGCGTCAAAGAGGAATTGGGCAGAGCCTCACAGGATTACTTCAACGATTACTTCAATCGGCCGATTAAAAATAGAGGCAATTGGCTACTTTACAACAGACACCGCGAGAGCTGTGATGTCACCGTAACGCGATCACTTCTTAAAAAGTATGGGTCAATTACCGGATGGTACTACAACAGTTTATTTTAAACCCCCGGCAGGAAACTCAATTTTTGCTGCCGGAGAACACCTACCTGAAGTGACCAAAAAGTGACGGTCGATCACATCTTTTGAGGATGTCCGGTCGCTCAAGGGTGATGGCAGGCTATTATTGCCTACTGGACCGGTTACACTGCGACACCATACAGCCTTCAGAATTACGAATGTCTCTGCATGGCAGGAGGCCACTGCCGTTGTCTTCCCTCATCTATAGGTGGCTGCAAAGAGCGTTCAGGGACATCCTGCCGGCGTATGTATCTCAATGGAAGCGTATATGGTGGGTACTATGTTCGGTACGCATTGCAACCTTATAAGTTCAGCTCAAGTGAGTGGTTCATGAAGGTAAGAGCGTAAAGCAGGCGGGATGTATTCAATAGTTTTAAATACACGGAATTCGGCAATTACAAGCACTGGCGACACGAGAGCGTCGACAGATATCTATCCACACGGGTGAGCGGTACCATTCTCTTGCAATGCATTAGAATGTTGACCATATCACCCTCAAGAGAACCGTGCACAGCGGTGAGACACATACAACCACCGGAGCAATGGAAATTGGCGTTGCAAACCTGGCTTACTTCTAGACGTCTTGCACAACTTAATGTTTGTAAATAGACGGTCCGTTCCTCTCTCTCTTTCTCATGACTTTTTCAATCCATAAGGGCTAGCACGCCCGAGCTCGCAGAGCCAAGCCATCGCCGTTCACTCAAGCCGTGTCTTGTTCGCGCAATGCAGCCACCGTGTCCCTGCGATGGGGTTTCTCTAGTCCTTTGTATGCTTGGGTCGACGGCATCCGATGTGTCGCAAGGTCGTAAGCATTTCCCTTGTCATGCTTCAATTCGTGATTATACCCCACACAGAGAAACGCAAAAGTCCACAGCTCCGTTTACTGACAAGAATGCGTCTGTTTGATCGTTAAACTGGTCGCGGATGATGCGCTCAAGTGTGTGCATACAGGCAGTGAGAGTTCTACTAGTAGTCGAAATCAATTGCAAGTGACACGTGCTAAGCATCACTCCAAACTAGTTGCGAGCGCTCAAACTTTCTTCCTATCTGTCTTTGTTGTCGTTGCTGTATATGTATCATATTCGATCACAGAACTCCGTTGCAGTGCTTGACATCGCCCGAATGTCTGACTTTCTACAGCCGAGCGTATCCATTGAGCTACATGTCTGTCTCTGCGTTGTAGTTGTTGATCTACCCGTCGTAATCTCACGCTCCAAGAAAAGTTGACGTCTCTCTGCTATGCTGATCGGCTCACTGTCGTTCTGCTTCCTATAGAACTAGCTTGTCCAGCCGTCTCACTAATACAACAGCTAGTCTTCCTTCCATTCGATATATTCGCCTGCCCAAATGCCAACCGTCCCTGGCCAAGTCGTGCCCGGTGATGGCACCTTTGCACGAACAGAAGTTTCAACATGCAATCAAGGACCTAGCACAAACCAATTTAATTCAACACGAGTCTGCATGGGGCTACAAGCCGCTGCACTGTCGGCGCGTCAATGCTAGTGTTTGAATAGAGGTGCAGAAATGTGCAGTGTCGCGTGGGATAATGTTTACAGCACAACAATGCGACTGCAAATTCTTCACCACTGACTGACAAAGAGCTGGAATGCCATGTCAAGAAGTGAAGTCAGAATCCCGTTTGGAGTCGAAAGGACGATGATACGTAGTCAAAAACTACGTCACCTTTTAATACGGTCAATTTCTTTTGTCTTTTTGCTGGCCTCGTGTTCACCGGAGCACTCCATGTCTATCACATCTTTCATCATGACCAACATCGGATGAACTTCTGTTGACGGAGCTGCCTTGTCACTCACACCCTTATCTCCCCTGACTCGACCTTCTTGGTCACGACGAGGCATTGTTATTCCACTCCGATCGTTTACGCATGCATCACGGGGCGACATAAAGACGACGAATGTTGCACGTTGAGGCTTTGGATGATATTTTCATGTACGTTAAGCGTGGCCAGAGCAATCGCGCAGCCAATATGACGTACGACGTTGGGATACAGTTATTGCGCGAGGGATGCCGTGATATCGACTGCTGACTACAACCTCTTGGTCCGTTGGCAATTTCTTGCACTTTGATGGGAACTGATGTCTATTCTACCGACTGCAATAGTAGAAATACAATGGGTCGACCTTGCAGCTACAGCGACCAGCGAGTGGTACTCGGATCATCTGCCACGGGCTGTCTGCCAAGCCAATGCGTGTGCTGTTGCAAGCCCTTTGTCTTGTCGCGCCGCCTGCTACCAGGTGTAACGGGCCACCCTGAAGCTTGTACTGGTGACAGTACAAGCTACTTATTCTGATGAAAGAATAAGGCGGTGCCTCGTAACTTCACGTACACTCGTACGTGCAGAGGAAGACGGTAAGAAGAAGCGATTACTTGGTTAAAGTAAAAAGTAGAACTGTATTAATAATAGTTAATGTCTGTTAATAAATCACTATTTATCTTCATCTAACTATGTCTGAATACAAATGTGTAAATCAGCTATCTGCTCACCACTCATTGCGTGCGTCTGTCGTGGCGGGTCTTCGTTGGTTGATATAATGGCCTATATCAACCAATTAGGAACTACTCGTAAGTGCTACAGAATATTTGTCCTTCTGACAGTATTCTGAGAATGTAACTCATGTAGTTGTATTCTCTTAACAATTTCTTATAAATTGTTATGTAACGATTCACCCGTTACATCACCCCCCCTAACCATCAGTCACTTTAGTGACTGATTGACTAAATGGATACTCGTCCCAAATCAGTTGGGACGGGGTTTGCACTTGTTGGTCCGAGTCCACTTTGAACAGTTCATCGCATGGTTAACAAGTCCATGCGATGCGCGAGCAAGGCCGCCGAGAGCGCGCCCGCACGTCTTTGTGCGGACGCCGAAGCAGAAACCACAGCAACTGATGTCTCATCGGTTGCTGAAGCGACTCAGCCTGTTTCACCTGGTAATGCGGGCGCTGGTCATGAAGACACTCATGTCTTCACAGAGTATGAGCTCAGTGTCTCATTTTCTCCTAATACGGAAGACGGATCCGTATCGACGACGGTTGAAACCAAGCCTCCTGCCAAGCGTGGCATGGACGATGCTATGCGTCGTAGCATCTTTGGTTCAACCGATGAATCAAATGAAATATCGCCGAAGCGAAGGCGCTCGAGGTCGCAAGACTCGGGCGCTAACAGTGGTGTCGGTTCTCCTATTGACACCACTTCGCAACGAGGTGCCAGTACTTCTGTCGGCACATCGCAGGAAGAGCGGGACCGCACCGTGTTGCGTCTCGCTTCCAAAAAGAAGGCATGGATGCCTCCCAAATCTGTCATGGATCACTTGTCGGCGACGACGAGTGATCGCTATCGAACACGATTGTTCGATTCGTCAAGGGATCCATCACCTTGACCCCAGCGCGAAAAACTATCGCTCTGAGAATGAATTCTTCATCGATGCTTTCTTTAGACATCGATGGTACAGTGGGAATCACAAACGTGGTGGTCCCTCACTGCTTCAGGCGTGGAACGCTTACATCCATAACCTTGAGGATGTAGGTCGTGATGTTTGGAACGACAAACTTATCAAAGCTCGCGATAAGTTTGAAAGGAGAACCCCGACAGGTGCACGCTACAAGCTGCATCGTCTGTCAAGGGAGAAGGGATTACCCTGCCTCTCTTGGGGAGACTCGTGCCCATGTTGTGTGAACAACTCTGCACGAGCACCTAAGGAGGCTTACCTCCCTAATAGCCCGTGGTGGCGCGTACGTATCTCTAGTGAGATGTACGAAGGGATTGACAACCTGAAATCCCTTTACGACCGTGCCGGGAAGACTTTCTCCGGCGGTACTTCTGCGGCACAGGATGTGTCGCGTCGTTCTGCTCAACCAGACCCAGTACGTCAGCCATCAGTTAGGAGCGGGGCTCCCAAGAATCCCAGGACGGGGGACAGCCGCGCCACCGGACGAGATAACTCGTCCGACGTCCGTTCACGTCGCGGTGGATCAACAGCTGCTCAACTAGATAGCGCTGGCCACCGCGAGAGTCCTCTAGTGGAGGTGGAGGAGGAGGAAAGACGCTCTCCACACGATCATGGGGATCCGTGTGTTCCCGAGAGCTTCTTTGATCGCGTAACGCAAGGGTTACGCGACGATCTCGAACATGAGCGGAATAGGCGTCTCCAAATGGCGGACACTGTCTTGAAGCATCGAGCTGAGTTTGCCTTTGCTCAGCTTAAGAACGAGAGAGCTCTGACATCTCTTCGTGACGAGCTAAGGGTAGCTCGTGGGAATGTTGATCGGTCTCGGGATGAGATAGCTGCTCTTCAGACCCTTGTTGATGCCCACCATCGGGAGCACAAGGCTCTCTGCGAGATGCTTGAGCGCAAGGGCGTTCTTCATCGGAAGAAGCAGCGTACGGATGGTACGGCTTAAGCCGACCAACGTAAAACGTGGGATGCGTTCGCATCTTACGTGGTAACTCGATCGTGTATGCATTGCCCAGGCGGTGCAATACACGAAATGGGCCGATGTACTTGGGTAGTAGTTTACTGCTACCCAAGTTAGTCACTACCTGCTTTGGTAGATTAACCGTAGACATTAGGACTAAGTCACCTTTATTAAATAAAAGAGTGTTTGCCCTTCCATTCTTGTCAGCGTTTTGCTTTTGCTTATCCACCGCTTCGGCGATGGAGTCTTGCACAAAACGGACTACCGTTCCACGAGCCGGTGTGAAATCATCTGCTGACTCGTTAGCTTCAGTGCGCTGTGAGCGCACTGCAGCAACATCAACCTTTTCTTCAGTGAGGGCTTCCGCACTCTCACCGGCATCATCTTCTTCGATATCGATGTCATCGATATCGGCATCAAACGCAATGACTTCTTCGTCAGAGCGTGATGAGCGTGAACCAAATCGGTTTTTGCTCGCGCGAGTCTCTCTCCCCCCTTAAACCAGAGATACAATCTAGTAGGTGGGTACACGCGAATGACGTAAACCACTCACGTAAAACGGTGTATGTGTCGTGGACGCATGCACCGAGTTGTTAATGGCAAACTCTACCATGGGCAAGAACGTACTCCAACGCTTAAAGGAGTGTACGTATCCTCGAAGTATCTCTTCAAGGACACGATTGGCACGTTCCGTCTGACCATCTGACTCTGGATGATCAGATGTAGACATTTTCAAGCGCGTTCCGAGTGATTTGAATACGGAACGCCAGAAATCAGCAGTAAATCGTGGATCTCTGTCTGATGCAAGTTCACGGGGCAACCCATGAATTCGGAAGATGGTGTCAATAAAGACGCAAGCACAGCCACTTGCCGTGATTGTCTCTGGTACAGCCACAAGGTGTACCATTTTGCTGAATCTGTCAACAAATACGAGAATACCCGTATTCCCGCGTGCGTCTTTGGGTAACCCGAAGACGAAATAGATTGAGATGGATTTCAGCACTCTGCCGGAACTGGTAGAGGCTGTACAGGTGCACGCAGTGAAGGACTTGACTTCACTCGTTGGCAGACTTCGCATGCGCGAGCATACTTTCGCACAAACTGATACTGGCGGGGCCAGTAAAAGTCTCGACTCACCGTGAGATATGTTTTCTCCCGGCCACGATGTCCTTCTATAGGAGAATCGTGATACTCGAACATGATCCGCAAACGCAGATCAGTATCATCTGGAATGACAACACGTGGTGTGTCACCAGTAACGGCTGTATAATACATTAAACCGTTGCGAGTAGTGTATCGATCTGATGCAGATCGATACGCAGACGACAATCGCTTCAACGATTCTCGAGATGGTTGTGAGAGATGTGTCAACAACTTCACAATCTCATCATCTTGGGCGTATGCCCGCCTCACATCATCATACAACGTTGTAGATGGGACTGAGGACGTCATAACCGCAACAGTGGCTGTCTCACTGTTGGGTTTCACGACTGGTTCAAAGTCGGGACGACGTGAGAGTGCATCAGCGACGACATTAAGTCGTCCTTGTTTGTACTCGACCGTAAAGTTTTGTTCTGCAAATAATTACAACCACCGCGCCATTCGTTGTGAAAGGTGCGGGCTGTTCACTGCCGTGCGTAATGACGCATGGTCAGTGTAAACAATGAAGGGTCTATCTCCTAATAGATAGATTCTGAACTTCGCGAGTGCATACTTCATGGCAAAGAGTTCCTTGTCATGCACTGGATAGTTCCGCTCAGCTGGTTGCAGCTGACGCGACTGATAGCAGACGACGCGTTCAACGCCTTCAATATTGTACTGCATTAATGCACGGCCGATTGCGAAATCGCTGGCATCACAGACCACATGAAATGGCCTGTCCTGATCGGCTATTGCTAGGACTGGGGATTGTATCAAGCTCTGCTTGATACCATCAAAGGAGCGCTGACATTCAGCGTTCCATAACCCCTTTTTTTAACAAACGAGAGAGGTGCACAGTCATCTCGGCGTAATTGCGTGAATACTTATGCAAATGCACCGCTAGCCCAAGGAATTTCCGAAGACCTTTGACATCAACTGGCACATGCCAGTCGGTAATTGCCTTGATCTTTTCGGGATCAGGACGTACACCGTTCTTACCAACGATGCACCCAAGAAGTGGTATTTCGCTTGCTTCAAATATACACTTCTTGAGGTTTGCATACAATTGATGCTCTCGCATGATTGTAAGAACCTGTCGGACGTGATACCTGTGAACCTCAACGTCCGACTTTCCATCCATAGCCCGACTATGGATGAATACGTCATCGAAATAACTCGGCGCGAATTCTCGTACTGGTCTCAACAGATGTGTATCACATCTGTTGAACGTGGCAGGGGCATTACTAAGCCCTTGTGGCATTACTAGCCATTCCCAGAGCATGCCGCTAGGCGTGCTAACTGCGGTAAAGGGTATATCCCGTTCTCGCATAAGGATTTGAAAGAAGCCATCCATCAAATCCATGGACGAAAAGATGGTACTCTTTGACATACCATCAATGATTACGTCCTTCCTTGGTATCGGCGTCTGAGCCGGTACCGTTGCAGCATTCAACTTGTTAAATGCATGCACTATCCGCCACCCTCCTGTTGCATTTCGCACACAGAAGGTCGGAGAGCTATGTGGGGAAGTTGGTTCCCTCACATGGCCCGCATCTAAAAGATCGGCAAAGAACTAGTCGATCGCAAGTACTTGTTCACGAGGCAGTGGCCACTGCTTCATGACACAGTACTTCGAGCCTGGTTTAAGCTCGACCTCGTGTCGAGTACCTTTATCCTTCGGTAATTCGCACGGAACAGTTTCAGAGAATTCATCCTTGAATTCAACCAAATCTTCATAGAGAGGATTTGTCTTGAGCGATTCCCACGATTGGGAGTCATATCGCTCAATTCGTGTCTTTTCATCTAGGACACTCTCGTCCATTGATGAACTACTGAGAACTCTCTCGTTCTCAGTAAACATTGTTGCTGACGTTATGTCGGATACACACTCGTCGTCAGCGACGAGTACGCAGATCTGCTTGACTTTGCCACTACGCAGATCACGCAAGAACCTTTTATGTTCTAGCGTTGGCAACTGAGTGATCTCCGAAGTCAACTTCGGAGGCGCAATCAGATCAAGTGTATAAGCGCCTACGCTTGATCCGTTATTGACTATGACATTCAATGTCTCTGTCATTTCCTGGGGACTTATTCCCTCAGGCTTCGAAGGCCTTATTCCTTCGGCTTCCCGGGGACTTATTCCCGCGGGTTTCGGGGAACTTGTTTCCGCCGTATTTGTAATACTGTGACTTATTCCCTTTACTTCCTCTAGCTGGGGTTGCGCAACCACAGCGAGATCCTCTACGAAAGACTCTCCAGTCAATCTAGGGTTATCGTTTCGCTTAACCTGAGCGATCGATTGTTTCTCTTCTAGAGGTTCCCCGCTAGAGATACATCTTTGTCCCGGTCCACTCGACTTATTCGAGTGGTGGACCTTCGGCGCAGCCTGTGTTTCCTCACAGCCGCCGGAACTTTGCTCCGAAGTGTAACTGTTTGTTACACTAAGGTTTTGTGCAGTCGTACTAACGACCGTACCACAAGTGAGGCCATCGCACTCACTCGTAGTACATCCACACGCTTGTGGACGCTCCAAAACGTTCATCAGATGGCCATCTGATGAACAAGCGGCGGGCATCGTTACTGTTCGATGTTGCCAGTTTACCCATGGTTCGTACCTTCTGAGCCACGGTATTCCAAGGACGACATCAAATTTGTCATCCAAATCCAATACGATAAAGTCATCATCATATTGGGTATCTTCTAGCGTATAGTGGATCTTCACTATACGCTTCATGACGGTTACGGATGCGCCTGTCGCAAGACGTACCGTCATCCTCGTAGGAGGTGTGTCACATTCACTGAATTTAAAGTGACCATCTTCTAG